CGCATATTCAAGTTAATTATCACACTTCGAATCAGACTAAGTATCTTACCTGACATTGTTAGTTTGCATCGGAGGGAGACATCTGGCAAGATATCCTGCAGTTCAACATACTTGCTCAGAATATCACAGTCGCTGGCTTCTCTCCACTTTTCCCTGATGCGCATTGCACCGAAGATGGGTCCATCTGTCAGGTTATAACAAGGGAAGCAGAAATCAATGCAGCTTTGACAATCACTTCTCTGGTTCATTCTCCAGCCTTTGACCTTGCTTCGACATATTTCCTCATAGCTGGAATAGCCGGAGTCAATCCTGAGGTTGCTACACTCACATCTGTAACCTTCCCCCGCTATGCGGTCCAAGTTGCTCTTCAGTATGAATTTGACGGACGAGAGAAACCCAGGGATTTCCTGACAGGATACGTTCCCCAAGGATTGTTTGCTCCAAACCAATACCCACAGACCCTTTACGGAACTGAAGTCTTTGAGCTCAATGTTGCGCTTTGCACACTAGCAGTACAGTTTGCGAGACATGCTGTCCTGAACAACACTGAAGCCACGCAGCAGGTTCAGATGGCTTTCGCAAACTCTACCATATACAAGGCTGCAACTAAGCCTCCTTCCATTGTTGAATGTGACACTGCAACATCCGACAACTTCTGGACTGGCATTCTCCTTGGTGAAGCATTCAAGGATACCACCACTCTGTTTACCAACGGCACTGGGGTATATTGTACCACTCAACAGGAAGACAATGGTACATTGGAAGCCCTCTTACGAGCTGCATTGGCTAGGCTTGTAGATTTCTCCAGAATTGTTGTCATGCGTACAGCGTCTGACTGGGATAGGCCATCCCCTGGAGAGACCGCTGCAAACTTGTTTTTGGCGGATCCTCCGGGATTTGAGCCTGCTATCTTAAATATCATGCTTGCAGGTGTTGAAGTGGTCCAAGGGCTTGTGAATGGGTGGGACAAGAGGTTTAGGGATGGTGTCAAGCCAGAAAACTATATTGGGGACATTTTTGGATCTTTGGGTGGAAAACCTGATTTTGGTCTTCCCAGTGTGCTGCCGTCGCGTAAGAGAAGAAAAAGGCAATGAGAGGTTGAATGATAGCTGTAATGGAGTTCTTCTGCTATATATATTGAAAGTTATCTTTTTCTAGACTGCTTACGAAGCGACATTGTCCAGTTCAGTCAACCATCAGCGCTTGAACTTTGTTTTTCGAGCTACATAATTTCTACCTTTGCACGCCAATCTTGTTTCATGGATCAGAGAAGAGGTCTTGATTGAGTTGAAGTGCAGTTCGAAGCTTGAGAGCCAATTCATTGCAATTGGATTCTTTGTTAATTTGAAGTTTCTGCGTCAAACTTGAAGTCTGCGTGTCCAGAGTAAGTGTATGGTGGCCCAAAGTGTCAAAAAATAAATTGTCATGCGCTCATCAATTATCATATGCGCTACTTACAACTCACGCGCGCGCATATAACTGTGTCAAGTCTCCACGCTCAACAAAGTTCAACATATTCAATGATTTTTAATTTCCAAAAAAGGAAGGTATGAGGTAAGCCCTAGCCGGTATGCCGGTAGTATACCTTTTTCCCTGCAGAAAGACCCAGTTCTGCCAAAAAAGCCTTTCAGGCGAGTATGCCCTATCCCTTACAAGAGAGTCGACTGTAATGGCTGTCAGAATCAGAATGGGTCAGAGCCAAATCGGGCTCTGGCAGCAATCTTGCAAGTAGTTTGAGTAATAGAGCTTACGATTGTGTTTCACATGACTATGTAGAGCCGTTTACTGCCAAACTTCATTGATGACATATACCTGCCGGTATCCACCCCGGTTCCTCCGAGAATCTGGTGAGGATTCCTCTTTATCCCTGGTTCCAAAGCGGCATCTTCTATCATTAGATAATATGGCTGCAGGGTAGATTCAGGTTGACTCCAGAGTACTTACTACTTGTACTACAGTAGCAATACTTTAAACAATTACACTGTATATAGCAATGGGCTGGGTGTGCCCTTTGCCACTGGGACCTAGAGAGTGAGTGCTCCATAGAGGGGTAAGAGAGGGCTTTATCTATGGTATCAATTTATGCTTCAGTTGAAGGTCCCTAAATGAAACTCAAAACAGGATGTACCTCCTCACAGTTGTCAGTAAGTACCTTACATCTGAAAAGGCCTTCATCAGCAAAACCTGTATTTTTGCTGGAGAAAACCCATTCATTTGGGACATCTCTGGAGCAAGGTACCCTATTCCAGAGACCTCTGGAGATCTCTGGAGAAAATTGACAGTTTTTTTGACAGCTGTCAAGCTCCAGAGATCTCTGGAGACCTCCAGCGAAAATACAGGTTTTGCTGATAGGCTTGGAAAAGGCATTTTTGTCCTTGTAGATCAGAAATCAGCCTTGTGAAAAGCAAGCTTGAGAGTAGTAGGCTTATCTATAGTGTATATTTACACTTTAAATGCATCCTGGATGAAGAAAATTGAATCAAAACTGACAAAAAAAAAGAGCATCCCTTGATTCCCTTCCTCATTGACAATTGTACCTAGTAAGCAAAAATTTGAAGTATCCAGAACTTGACAGTGTAGAGAACTTACAGATTGACTCTAATGAAACAATAGTGTGAAAAGAAACTCATTAACAGTACTGAGAACAGAGCATGTTAAAGGGGTCTGGAAGAGAGAAACCTAGAGATTACACATCATCTATGGATAATTCTACTGAACAACCCTGTTGGAGGGGTTGTTCGCAAGTAACAACCCTCAAGGCTCCGGACGTCACACCGGAGTCCCAGCGGGTCACACCAACACTTCCTACATTAAACTCCCATTAGCCGTGTTCTGCCTGGATAAAAAACAATTGCCAGAGCCTACTCATGTATTTGCTTTATATATGCTCCAAGTATAAAACTATGATTTGCTAGCAGTCATCGAGGCCCGATTTACCAGTCTCGAGGCATTTCTCTCTGCACATTGGATCCTGAGCAACAACTTCATTTTTCTTTCTCTCCCTTCCGAGTCGTTGATTAAAACAATGTCAAGCCGGATTTTCTGAGCACTATCTAACAGGATTGGTATTCGGTACTTGCTTTCGGAATATGGGAATGAGTCAAGCAGAGTGCCTGAAGAGCCTTGGAGCAAGGGGTGACATAGAAATTCATTGGAAGAAATGACGCCCGGCGTGACGGAGAACAGCTGGGGTTGTTTGAGGTTGTCTGGCGCCATCGGGGTTGTTCAATAGAATTATCCATCATCTATGGTCTGTAGTATGTATGCTTCTGATTCTGAAGTTCTGAATTATTGCTGTACTTTCTTGGCTATGATTATAATAGAATTGGTGGAATTACTTGGCCACCAGAACTTCGGGAGTCATCTCATCCCCGACACTGACCGAAGGGAAGGGAGGGTTCTGTCGATAATGATCGGACGAAATGGAACTGAAACTTTGCAATTTCTTCTCACGCTCTCGCAATTCATATACCTTTTACTTCCGCTTTTCTCTTTGTCTGCCCCATCGTCTTCATCAGTTGTTGGATTTGGACCCATACAATCTAGAGAAAATGCCTACTACAAATGATATTTATCTTGCTTTGTTGTCCTCCTTGCCGACTTAGTCATTATCAACGTGTGATGAATTAAGTACTTAGACAGAACCTCGGTTCACTTAAAACGTCTCTTCTGCAGACTATTATTCCTTGGCGCATGAATAAAGATTACCTTGTTGACCAGATTGTAATGAAATTGCGCTCTGCTCGTTACTCTTTTCAAGGTAATCAAGATTGCTATCAGGCTCCTTGCCATGGTTTCCATACCGAGTTTGGCCCTGCAATATACCGCACGCTCACTCAATCGTTGTCGCTTGACACTGTTACAGATCACAAGCCTCTCCCTTATATTAATCCTGATTTTTTACCTGCATTGAAAGAAGAGCTTTCTGTCTGCCTGCCTGTTGATTTGGACTAACTTTTGTCTTCTTTATCTGTGAAGACAACATGCAAGCATAGCTCCCCATTGTATCGAATCAATGCCCCCGATGGGACAGGTTTCATCACCTGTACTGACTCGGTTATGTTTCTTTGCAGAATATTCTTGGCTCAATTCTGCTTCTTATACATGCTGCATTCTAGTACCTTGGTTGAGCCCTGGGTTGAGCTGTACTTCTCTGAAAACTTTATTCTCAACCCTTTCATGATGTTTCTGATTTAGTCTTTGCAATCCTAGAAGGTCAAGGTTATCCTTATTCTGTCTTGAGTGCAGCCTCAGGTGCCCTTGTCACTTATAACTCTAAGACTATATTGGGTTTACCCGTTCCTGGTTCACTCAACAATCGCAAACATATTGAAAGGAAAGAAGCTCATGTAGCTCATGTGGCAAACAAACTCCAGGTGTTGGAGGATGCGAAATTAACTTGGCCTCAGCCCATACCCCAGTCAACAATCACTGATTGTCTTCGAACTTACTGGCAGTCTATTCAATATGTGCCTTTGTCTGTTTGTGCCTTATGCGGTGCTGAAGATCGTCTCCGCACCGGTTCACTATGTCCTTTAGAGAGCTTCACAATTTACGTGTCACAAATCAGTATATCTTGGAGCATTTGGCCTTTCTTTACACTAGACCTACCATCCAAAATCTAGTAGTAGTACTATATTTTCTTTTGCGTGATTTGTGCGTGATTCGAGGGCAAGGGCACAGGCCTGTCGGGGATTGCCGCGTTAGCGGCGCTAAGGATTAGTTAGCTATGTCTCTCTCAATTTAAGTAGCGCGCGTGATTAGTGTCGCGCGCGTGTGAGTTGTAAGTAGCGCGTATGATAATTGTTGAGCGCGCGACAATTTATTTTTTCACACTTTTGGCCACCATATAAGTGGTATGGGGATAGCAATGCAGAAAGGGTGTTTTGGAGTCTTTGGATTAGTCAGAAAACACGGCGCATTGTAGATGGGGTGCTGGTGCTAGCCTGGATACAGTAGAAAAAGTGAGTTGTGAGTCAGTTACTTAGCGACATTGTGGGTCCCTGGTAGTATATCGGTTAGTACACGCGCCTGTCATATTTTCGTCGAGCGCGCGAAAGCTGGGTTCGACTCCCAGCCAGGGAGTGGGCAGAAAGGGCAATCGAATTTTGATACTTTTTCGAACGATAGTTTGTGATTCTGTGAGACGAGTTGCGTATCTGAAACCTTTCATCCCGCGGTCATCTTCTGAAGGTCTGGCTGTGTAACATACGCAGGGTATCTCATTGAAGATTATACAGTAATGAAACAGTCCCTAAGTTACGTATCGTAAAAGAGAAATCTGTGACGAAATTGAATGTGCATAAAAAAAACTATGCGAACAATCCATCTATTCCAATTTACCCCTCGAATTAAAGGGAAAGTCGAGAACCACAACACCCGCCACAACATTCGAATCAGCCGCCGACGAACTACTATTCGTCAAAACAGCGTAAGACGTTCCCATCAGACTAGAAGGAACGGCCACTTCGCCATTCTGTACCTGCACAAAGATCGGTGCCAATCCACTGAAGAACGCAACGTAATTGCCCTCGGTAGTGATACCGCTTGCAGCAGTAACGGCGGAACACTGGCCAGGTTTTGGTGTAGCGATGGTGAACGAAGGGAAGGCTTGGACTGGGAGTGAAGGGTTCGACGATGGACAGCTGGTGATGAACGAGGCTGCGAGCGTGTAGACGGCGTCAAGCGAGAGAGGAGTGTCGAGAGGACCAGACCAAGGGTTCTGACGTAGGAGAGTAGACTCAACCCAAGCTTGGTGGCGAGCTTCGGTGGAAAGAACGGCAGCGGCAGCGGTGAGGTACTCCTTGTTCGAGATGTATTGTGCTGCACCTGTGTAAGCGCTAACGCCAACGCCTTCGAGAATGGAAGAGAGCGCGACGAAGGATTTGGGATCTGTGTACGGGCTGGAGCGAGGAAAAAGTCATTAGGATTGACATGAACAAACGAAAAAAAGGCTTACAAGTTGTACGTGCAAGGCTGAGTCGCTTGGTCGCCCAACGCATCACTCAAAAACGCGACGTGAGCCGCTTCGTGTTGACCTATTTCTACAATACGACCTCTCGCCCAGGTCGGAAAGCCAGCGTCGACAAAGTCTTCCTGAGTATATTTGCTCAGAGCTCCGGAATAAAAGGCGTTTTCGAGATGTTCGAGGGTGAGAGCATAGTTGAGAACGATAGTATCGTCGATGCCGTTCGAGTCTCGCGCTTCAGGTAGGACATGACTCGACGCGACACCGAAAAAAGCAGCGAGAGCAACGGAAGAAGTCGAGAGCTTCATAGTGATGGTCTTGAAGAAGAATAGTGGAGAGAATAAAGCGAGAATAGTTGTCTTTTATACGAGTTTCTGGCTTGTGGGCGAGAGGAGTGAGCGATCGATCATGACGCGTCTCGGTCTTCTCGGATATCGCGCCAGTCATCGTGACCTCGATTATGGCTTGGAAGTGGTAATTATTTAGAAATAAGAGAAAATGGTTCGACTTTCGAGCTACGATTAACAGGAGAAAACGTCAAAATTGAACGACGCTGAATGCTCCGAGAATGAAGCTCCAATTCGCATAGAAAGCCACTCCGAATTCGCCGAGGTTAGCTGCAGAAAAACATCGAATTAGGCCTGAAGCGGAAGCGGGATCAGAAAAACGAACCGAACAAGCTCCATGCCTCTCAAAGTCGAACGTTATATGTCTCGCGGAGCCTACATTTGGGTCCATCAATACCCAACAACTGGGTCGAAATCGGAGGCATTTCAACGAAGGCGAAGTAAGGACTAAGGAGAACAGTCAGTATAAACAGTATGCTTCTTCGATTCGACCTGCCATGCCAAATATGCAACACGAACTGTCTTGAATCTTCGACATACGTCTCATCTAGCAGAGCAGCAACGAAGTGGCTCGGAATCTATAAGCTAGTAAGTATCGTGTCATGAACCTCTCGCCTCGGAATGGACTGCTACACCCGAAGAAGCTGGCCGAAGAGTTGAAACTGACACGGGTTCAGAAATCAGTACCAGCGAGGAGAGAAATACCATAACATACCTGATGCGGCATTCGTCGAAGAGGCTGAGTAGATTGAATAGCATCGTCGACCTTGGCTGAGACTTTGGGAAGAAGCTGGAATCGCCTACATAGATGAACAACACGTAGTCAATCCAAATCCGCGAACGATTCCATGGAATCAACCTGGGACGGAGTTGGAGATCAATCGAAGAGCTAGCTCGGAACAGGCAAGCGCAGAGAAGACTAGAAGTACAAGTCAGGATAACGCGTAGGATAGTAATATTCAGCACACCTAAAGACTATATCCCGACTGCTTCGTTTACTTCTAACTAGTCCAGTAGACCAGCGAGCTTCGACTAGAAGTTTGGTCTAGAGGTAATATAGAGACCCCAATACAACGACTTCTAGTCCGCGTTGGGCTACAACGGACAGCTATCAAAGCACCAGAGTCAGCAAGAAAGAAAGGCGAAAGCATAATCTTCGCACCATGAAGACAGAGATTAGCATCGTCGATTCTGGATTCAACCGTAAGGACCTCCATAATTCGTTTGCGATCTCGAAATCACCGCGTAGATGAAAGTCTGCGCCCGTCCGTCTCAGGAGACGATGTTGTCGAATGCGAACTGAAGCTGACCCAAAAGTTCCGCGACTAATTGGGCTAAAGCAAGGAAGAACCAGTGATTCAGCATAGTGATAAAGCCTTATGAAGACTTGGCGTACCGAAAAAAATTCCTTGGGATGACCTGAGATCTGTCAGTACAAGCGTCCGATAAACCAAATCTCATGCAATCGGAATGACGCGAAAGAACAAAGCTAAGGCATGAGCTCGATAGCGTTCTACGTCTGGCTTCAGGCAGCACCTAAGCAACAGGTCAACATTAGTGATAAAAGGAAGAAATATCCAATCGTACTTCGCAAGATAACCAGACTCCTCGATTATGATAGTGTAGACTCAGCAGCCATACCATCCCAAAAATGCAGAAGTTAAGAGCACAAGAAGAATCTTAATCTATTCCTAATGATAGTATCGTTATTAGGAAGAATCCGAATGTAAATTGAGCCGATACCAAGGCGGCAACAGCGACTGACCGGCGAGATAGCAACAATGAAATCTAGAAGTGTGCGGAATCACGCAAACTTATACTAATAACGTCCAATAATCTTCAAAATAATACAAAGTTGGGAAGAGAAGCTGACGCCTGAAAGCGTTGAGAAAGAATCAGATGGAGGAAAAATCAGATGGAGGAAAAGAGAAGCGATACTCAGCGCTTATAAGTTTAAGCGCCAGTGGCGCCTAACGCGATTTCTTCTCAACGACCAGCAACCAGCAATGAATCCAATCTCCTTTACTGGTGAATCGATGGGCTTCGATATTACACATTCATCATACTCCTCCGTTATCGGAACAAACTATGTTCCATCTCAGGAAGATCTTGTATGTTTAGAGGCTCTTCTTGCCGAACCCCAGTTGCAGCTTGCCCAGTTGGAATCGGAGATAGCTCGTGTGCAGGCCCTGCTGGAAAGTCTCTTCCGGAAAAGGAATTCCGTGAAGGAATACATCAAGGCCCATCGAGCATTGATGTCTCCGATACGCCGTCTTCCTGCGGAGACTCTCTCGGAAATCCTCGTTCATTGTCTGCCAGGGGACCGATATGCAGTCAGAGACATAGCAGAGGCGCCTCTGCTTTTTACAGGAGTTTCTCGAGAATGGAGACGAACCGCTGTCAGTACTCCTGCATTGTGGAAGTCACTACATATATTCCTCCCCTCACATTTGACCCCCGAAGCTCTCGAGAGAAGGGCTACAGGCTCTGCTCTTTGGTTAGAACGTTCTGGGTCGCTTCCGATATACCATTTCACTCTGTGTGCAAACCCCGCACCTAGAACAGCATAGTGCTCCCTCCGAGCTTGACTCCATAGCTATCCAAGGCCAATATAGATTTATGGCCGAAACTTTGTTGAAAATTCAGCAGTAGAGTCAAGGAGCTAACTTTCTCTGGGCACTTTCCGGAGATGAACGCTCACCTCGACCGGATATCCTCGCATCATTTCCCCATCTTAACCTTTTTTTCCATTCGAAGTACAAGAATGGGAGGGAGGTCCGAGGATGAAGATCTCCCATTTGCCTCTGTTGTCCGACAGATGCCTTCCTTGGAGAACCTGGCAATAACCAACTTCAATCATCCTGGCAAACAGTACACTCGGTTGGAATTAGGCTGGGAGAACTTGACTCAGCTCACATTACTAACACCTCTCCACACTCGTCGCTCAAATATTTCCCAGTTCTCTCCAGGTGAAATCCTAACCATCTTGGGACGCACTTGCTGCTTGCAATCAGTGACTCTGATCATTGACATATCCAACTGGGATCATGCAAGCACCAGTGATACTGCTGTGGTCAATCTTCCTGCCATGCATGAGATGCATATCACATTCATAAATCGCCGTTTTCAGGATTATTCACTTTTGAAGACATTCTTCCTCAACTTCTTCCATTCAATCCTTTGTCCATCCTTGAAAACACTATCTGCCTCATGGCAGGGAACAGCTTTGATTGAGATCCCTTTCTCTGCCTTGGTCTCACTGCAGGATGTAGAGGCACTGTCATTAAACATGCCACTGACACCAAGGGCATTGCTTAATTGCCTCTCACTTGTTCCAAACCTTAGGTCTTTGGAAATTGTCAGCAGGCCTTTGGCAATAGATGATGGAAATGGATCTCAGGGCATTCCACCTTTGATCTCTCATACTGTTGAGGATACTGTTCTTGAAAGCCTTGCTTCCAACTTGTCTGGAGAAGGTAATCATACTCCATTGCAGTGTCCCAATCTAAAGCATATCAAAATCACCTTCAAAGATAGCTTGCCTTCTAGCATCACACTTAATGCTCTCCTTGCTTTCCTTGAAAGCCATGTTCAAGCACAGACATCATTAGAATCCTGCAATATTTTCTTTCCAAAACCACCAGCTGAACCTACTGAGGAAGAAGCTGCAAGGCTCCAGGCATTGGTGGATTCAGGACTGAAGTTGCAGATTCAATATCAAAAGCAGCGTCAGATATTCTATCAAAATGATTCACCATTAATTGGGGTTT